CTTGAGTAAGGGAGTCGATTGAGTAAGCTGCACCATTACAAAAAAAGGGCCGATTAATCAGTCGCGTAACAGAATTCCTCTGTTTAGATAAGCCATCCAGAAGTTTTCGAATCCGCATAAACGTATGCGTCCACAAAGATGGTTTTCGTGTTTTGCGCTCGATATTAAGGTTGTTACGTATCGTTTCATACAACTGCCTTTCTGCACGATACGAAAGTGTGTCTACGCCCAGATTCGTACTTATATCCATGGGTTTAGTAGGCGAACACGTTACCCACATCACGATCACAGGAATTATTAAGTAGTATATGGCGGAACTACATCAATGAGCGTCGCTTCTATAAAGACTAATACATATTCTGTAGTGTCACAATTTGACTATCGTTTTCAGTTGAGTTAGTTGTTAGCCCCGGGAGTTTTTCATATGATTTATCATTCGACGATTACGTCGTATTCTAAATATGAGATCGTTTAACGTTTAATTTCGAAATCCTAGAGAGTCCATCAATAACGACAACCTGCGGTTTGGCTGGAAACGCTGCACATTTTTACGCACGCGCATTCAAGACGTGATTTGTTATTGTGAACCGAAGTTTAGCGCTATAGTGTAGTTTCATTGTCTGATCGCGGCCTACTTAAGAGACCATCTAATGGTTCTGATTCTCAACGGACCCTTTGAGCGGGCCAAATATCCCCTCCACACCATTTTAAGCAACTGTAATCAAATCGAGTTGTTGACAACATTGGCAAAGTACGTTCAGCGATCCCTTACATACTACGTTAATTACGGAGAAACTCACACAACGAATGCGCATCGGGCCTAGACAATGGTGACCTTTAAGGCGGTGTATATGAAAGGCGTTTTTAAGCTGATGCCAGCCTTTATCAATTTGAAGCAGTTTAATATTAAATGGTCGCGTTAATCTGAAGATACGGGATGCTATTTATAGGTTCGTAATATTATTGAGAGCAGAGCGAGATGAATCTCCCGCTTGTGTAACAGATAAAATTAGTATCGCCTTGTCACGTGTACCTCATTCGACTTTGCCTTCAGCGTGGGTCTACCAAACAAGCCCCTGAATCAGTCAAACTCGTCCGGTCGCCATTAACATGCTCTTCTGAACGACTGTTGCTTTCGAAAGCGGACGGATGCCGAGAAGATTCGTGTTCAGTGAAATTGGAAGATCCATTTACTTCAGTTCCCTTGGCGACACTTCGTCTTCCATCAGCAGCATTCTCGTTGTTGTGCGCCGTTCGCTATCCATAATTATCACAGACTCGGACCCGATGCCCTGTCGAAACTATTTTGCACTTGTTTCGAGGGCAGTATAGAGTATATACGTAAAAATAAAATAAAGTATATAGCAATATATGTACAAATATTCAAAAACTAGACGCGTTCTTATGCAGCTCATTCAAACGAGTGCTTCGTTTCGCACTCCAAGAGTGGCGCTCGTTCCAGAATTACGAAATTTATATGAATGATTTAGTAGTTGTTGAAGACATGAGGTATGAGATATCCGCTTTGCAAACCATCTAATCAAAAAACCTTCTCAGAATATGGACCCCGGAGATCTCAGAAAGAGGCACTTCCATTGCATTTCGGAAGCGCTGATACGTGCCACTATCCTAAATAAGAAAAAACAAAGCATGCTTTTCTGCTTTATGCAATATTAACGCATAAGTATATGTAACGCAATAATAGCCATTAACTCTTACCGCAGCGCTATCCAAACAATTGGTTCAGGTGTATATTCAATGAACTTAGAAGCAGCGAATGATTAGCAACTGGACGAAAGCCGTTCTTTCGACATCTTATAGCGGCCGCTTATATCAAATTCAATATTCCTGGACAGTATCAGAGTCTTTTTCTAAATTCGGCTGGCCGATAATGTTAACTGGAAGCTCATATCCGCTTTAATTGTAAAGCGCCAAACCGAGCTTGGCTTTACTTTTTTACCCATAGTGCTACTATGTATCTCCAAATAGTGGAAAGCCATACGGATGAATGGTTTAGCAACTGACGGCACGGGTTGGCATGACCTTGTTTCGGTTCTTCAGTGACGTCCTGAATTGAAGAGATTAAGATCGAGCAATGGCTTCGGCTCCTACGTTCCTTAAAGTGAGGTTAGTGGCTCCCATTTCGTCGATTCCTTAAAGGGGTGATAATGATTATACCAAATTTCCTGACATAAGCGTTGTAGATATCGATGTGAGTTGTAGATATCGAGATCAGGCATGGTAATGTAAATTACAAGGGTACAGCTGCTGAAGCTTCTAGAAAGCTGGCCCTATAGACCAGCAAAAAAGCTTTGGACAATTTGATATTTTTTTCATCATGGTTGATCTACGAGTACTCGGAACCGCTTTTGTGAGACCCCTAATAACCCTATCTGGAAAACTACCTTTGTCAATGATTGTGCTTCTAGTACAGAGTGGTAACTTAGCCTTGATGTTGGTAATATTCAGAATTATTGGACTCTATAAATAGAGACTAAATTCCTTGCTGAACTTAACGTGATAACTTGACATGTTTAGTAATCATGAAGGTGGACTTAGTTTTTTTTTTACTACAGACAAACTACTGATTGTGTAGCAGTTGCTGAATGCGAATTGGTACAAAATAAAGAAACTTATTTCTAGACCCTTGGCAGCATATTTATAGGTAAATATATTCACAACGCTTAAAAGCTTGCGTGCGTTATACAGACCCTATATATTCTATTTGAGAGATTTAGTGACTTTACTTTTCAAGTTTTGTTTGTAACTAGAAAACATTGCAGCTGGACAATCGTGTATGTCCTTTGGTTGAACGCGGACCCCTTGAAATTACATCTGTAAGTTCTTAATTTTGCCAGGTTGGACATAGTCCTCACGCTTGGCACCGTATTCACATTTAGTAGTGATGTAAATCATATTGTTGAAGTCGGCGACGAAGCCCTCTTTCGAATTTCTTCCTCGACCGTTCAATCAGACGTAAGAAATTCGTGTAGAGCTCTTCCACTCGCCACAAATGGATCGTCCCTTTTCGAAACGTGAACGTTACATTGGTATCGACATCATCAGCCGGAAACTAAGTTCTAAGCGATATTTACTAAACCATAATTCATAGACCCCACCAAATACTTTGTAACCAGCTCGGCGACCATGATACCAAATGTCATTACACTAGATAGTATCAGGCACTTTCGATTCCGAAACCAATGGTCTCTTTGTAAACGATAAAGTGCAGGTTACAAATATCCTTCAGATGTATCTGAGTCAAATCGGCTTACGCCATACACTCAGTGAGATACGCGTTGAAGTTGTACATCTCTCTATGGAAACGAAAGCACACAAGGACGGAAAACGTCTCTATGTGCGTGAGGAGTCATTTGATGGTGTAATTGAATAGTTTTCATTCGCGTCGCAATCCGTACAGCGTGTGCCAGTTCGTGGCTGCCCATTCTAAAGCGTCTATTTCTCGTAGATGACCTATCCCCACTATTAGAAAATGACAACGACACCGCTATAGAAAAAAACAAAAAAAAACAATTGCCTTTGTTCTTTGAAGCATGTTGAGTAATTTGTTGTAATAATATAATGATTATTATCTATCGAATATGTATTGACTATTCTACGAATAGGAAAGAATTAACGAATAGAGAATGTAGCTGACGTTTGGACTCCTTCTATTTTTTTTCTTTTTTCTTCGAGAGAAAGGATGGCGTTATCGTACCCTATAATCGGTAAACATGGATGACTGATTGTTATGAACTGAAAATAAAGCAGACAAAAACTAGAGAGAATACGAAACGTCGGGGAAAGCTGCTGTTTCCTTTTCAATCAGATTCTCAGCAAGATATCATGGCCTTCCAGTAATAAATATCCCTGCCTCGCTCGAAGCGACCAGATACTTCATAATACACTTGCAGCTGGATCGTATTCGTCTCATGCCGAAACGCATCTCAGCTCTTTTCAATACTTAGCAAATCTACAAAAGGCAAACTACTGAGCCACAATGTGACAAGACGCAAGTAAAGTATGTTCCGATTGGCTTCATAGTCAAGTTAAACAGATAGAAACACAATGTCAGTTGCGATACAAACACGACAATCAGGTTCAAAAACAATCATTTGTTTAAGGAAAAACTCTATAGAGCCCTAGATAACATATCAGTTTACACTTACGATGTCGATTAAATATAGTTTTTATGCAGTGATTTCACTTAGAAACATAAAGCTCACCCATAAACCAGTTCTAGTTTGTACTAGAACATACATAAGACCATCCATCTATGTAAGCTGATCCACGTAACGAATTCTAAAGCCTAATCAAGGTGAGAGAGGTAGGTTTAGATTGTTCTGTTACTTATGTGTTTAGATACGCCAGCGACGAACCCCTCGCCGAATGAATGCACTTCTCACTTCTGAGACCAAGCTGTACATCTGCTGATACGCTATGAAGGTAACCATAGATTAAACGAGGAGATGTTAGTTGTATTCTATCGTTTTCAAATGGGGCCTGCGACCGTTAACGCACAACTGGTCCTAGAGATCGAGTTTGCAGGGGATTACATTCTTCGCGGCATGTGATGAAAAATGATATTACAACAGGTCATAAGGGGTTATAACAGGACATTAGCAATTGTTCCAGGTTACCTATCCACATGATATTGTCAATGGGCCATGTAGAATGTCCATTCTACTTAAACTAATCCACAGCCTAGCTGCTATTTAGTTGGACGAAACTAATTTAAATTCTGTACTCTTATATAGACATCTATGGTCTTGCACGGATTACGACCAAGTGACACTTGAATGGAACAAAAAAAATTTCGGATGCACTATTTCTAGCCGTTCCAGTCTTTGGTATCATTGTGCGTACGGGCCTCAGCAACTGTGTAATCTTCTGTACAGCAGACGAAACAAATACACTAAATATTCAGAGGCAAATTGTCTGCTATTTGCACAAGATAACAGACGAAAACCTAAGTTAGCAGGCAGATTGAATTTACTCACCACAGTGGCGTGACCGAGCTGAGCGGCGAGATGTAGTGGAGTGTCACCAGATAACGATGCCTCGTTCACACAGGCGCCACGCCGGAGAAGGGTCTCTGCAAGGCCAGCCTCGCCTTGCCAACAAGCATAATGTAGGGGGCGCAAACCGCGCTTGTCCTAAGGTAAAGAAAAACAAAAGCAGAACATGCAATAAGACAAACACAATTGGCAACGATGCCTCAATGCACAATACCTGCGAGATCTATGCGATGAAAGTTTCTGCTTTTAACTCGAGCAATCACGTTAAAATCAGTAAATACTTGTCGTAGGTCGCGATTTGTTTTACAACTATGTGGTGCAACATCGAATAAGTGTACGAATTTTTCAGTTAGTCTATGGAAACGCTTACCAAATGTTTTTTTGTTAACTAGCCATATACTCATTGAATCCTTTTCGCTTCGCCCTTCTTTCTAGCCTTTATTCATCCGTACCTACAATTCTGTACCACAACAGCGTAAAAAGAAAGCTAGACTTGCGTACAGGCTTATTAAGAAGGACGCCTATAAAAAATACAGTTACCAGCTTTCCCGTTTCCTTTCAGTATAATCTGTCTCTCCCTCCCTTTAGATTTCTGAAATGAGGCAGATGTTTTGTACATCTTCGGCGCTCCCCCGGCCTGAATCTGCTTTTATTCAGTTGGGTCGCTTAAAGGAAAAAGCAAGGAACCCCGACCTTTGGGAAAGGTCTTACAAATGAATCACGTTGATAAAAAAAGCCACCTAGGACGTTGATAAACTGGTCAAGGGTGAGCGCGCGCAAGACGAAAATTGTAACTAATAAAAATGCTGGATGGCTCAATTTTTTCTCGGCCAAAGACAAATCATCACGGCTCGACGGTCGTCGAGCGGAATCTTTTCCAAGTTTAGGGATATTCTCTCGTTGTTTTGTTTTCTATATATGTATATATAGTAGTGCAGTTGTAGTCGTGATGTAATCGAATCGTAGGACCGTGTATCATCGTCGCGCACGTTAAAGACGCAAGCAAAACGTGTTTTTTCAAAACGTATTGACAGCGTCGAGACATAGTGATACGGAAAAATGAATGTTGCTGGGCAAACCGCTTGGCGGGCAGGAGACACGCGAAGTCGCCCGACTTCTTGACAATATTCAGAACATTTTGGGGCAAAGCACACAATTCATACCAGTGACTAAATACCGAACGGTAGGTAACCCGGGAAAAGAAGAGAAAGTATATACGACGTCGCTTTTTCAAGCTTGTTGCAGGTCCACTGGTCGGCACGTTCACTACTATGGATATGTTGAAGTGCAAGTTCAAACGTTTTAGGACCTGGTCAAAGACTTTACCAAAAATAGAGTGAGCAAAATTAGCCAGCAACACAGAGCGGCATACATGCGTTTTTTAGCAATTTGACATGTAAAAGAAGTTATTATTCGTCATTTTTCCAGCAAATTTTTCCCAAATACAAATGTTAGGTACGTAACGTAACAAAAATCACTGTCGGTATCAATTGCGTACAAGTACTGATCGATTTTTCTAGGTCATCGGGTTGTTACGTCACGAAATATCTGTACGTTATTATAGGGCACAGTGCAAGATGTACGCTCAAGCTATCAACACGAAACGGTTGCCCTTTGCTGACTCACCAAGCTCCTGCAGGAATAACAACATTAATTTAATTTCATGTTTCTCGTTGTAGCTACCCGTTGCATTACTGGACCCCATACGGCTGGCGGCAACAACAAAAAAAGGCTCCCTCTGTTTTTGGCCTTTTCCTGCTTTATTGAACCTAATTAGTTGTCATTAACCTTCATTAACTAGACATGCCTAAAAACCTATGGAGAGACAGAGGATCTATTGCACTTTCATAACTATGTATGTATATAGAAGATCTCTCTAGAGTCGTTTGTTTGGTCCCAGCATCGTTTCGGCAGTCACGTTTAAAATAGGGTCACCAATCGAACAAGCAGCCAAACGCTTGCTATTAGTCGTTTAGAAAATACATAAAAAATAGAAGTTATCATAATAATTGTTTTCCCTTGCTTATGCTCTGAATAAGGTTGGAGATAACTGTGATATTTAGTGCGGGACTGCAAAAACTGCAAAAAGAGGGTCTTGCTTGACAGATGAACCATTCTGGTGTCTAGTACATATTTGATTTCGGTCGAAGTAAAGCAGCGACAGTGTTACTGAGTCGGCAAAGAAAGCTTCAAGCAGCCACTTAAATGTCTTCTTTTTTAAATAAGCTTGATAATTCAACCGAGTTAGCTTCCGTTTCCACCGACTTTTTATTACCGATGAAGTCGTCGCCGATGTGGAAGCATTCAGCTAATAAGACACCTCCAGGATTCGGAAAATGATTGAAGTAAAAAAGCTTGGATTCAAAGCTCCGAACAACGTAACCCTAGCCAGTAAGCAGAATCCGCTGATAAAATAAAGATAATAATAAATAATAGTACCTTGAGGTCCAATTGGGCGCCATGTTCCAGTAAACATTCGACAACTTTTTCGGAACTTTGAGCTACGGCCTGGTGCAATACACTTACTCTGAAATATCAAAGACAAAAAATTAAGGTATTTATTCATACTACGTACTATTCATATGACAACATTTTTTAGCATTAAAAATCGATTTTATTTTATTTTATTAAATTTTCTTCTCTATCTGTTATCGTTTTTCCGCTTTCGAAGTTATGCTTCGGTTAATATTTACAAGATAGGAGCATACATGATTTTATACCAGATTCCCTTGATTAACAATTTTAGCTTGATCCGTTTAAGCAATACCATGCATGTTTGTTAATGGTCACTTCTGCGCATGCAAATTTGACATATCATCTTAGGAAAGAAAAATGTGTTTAAGAACCGTTATTAGGTCTTTAATTTTTAAAGTTGTACATCAACTATTACTGATAGCTTTTCTGCCGCTAGTGCAATTAGTGGCTTTAATTGGCAATCAAAAGCTTCAAAAAAGCAAGCCTTCTAAGCAGGCCGCTTAGGTCTCATATAGGTAGATTAATGGTCGTTGTCAAGGTACCAAAAGTATAAATGTGTTCGTTTGTCCTGTGTCTTGATTTAAGTATAAGGGGCATCATAACCGTTAAGGGCAGCTCAATTAATGATGCAAGATGGGCAAGACGTGTTGAGATGGTAATTAGAAAGATTCAGATTTCCTTCTGAATCTTTTTTTATTCATTTAAGGTTGATCGAAGCCTATGTAGACTGTAAATTTACGAAAACCAGCGATTTGCAACTACCTGTTATGCCGAATTACTTCACGATGTGCCCATTTAATTATTCTACTTCATGGTGATGAGTAAGTAATAAACCGGCAAGTGCACAACAAAGATAGATAGACGGCATTGAAAGGAAAAGTCGTCACGCTTTAAGGTTTCCAACAAATGAATCCGTGCGGAATTGTTATCAAAAAAGGTAGCTAATTGTGAATCCTAGTCTGTTTGCTTGTTTAAGGAGATGTAAGGTAAACAATGGTCTAGGCTCGAAACCAGGCGCATTACATTTCGTGCTAAAGTAGGTTGGCCCTTTGAGGCAATGTTTAACGTCGGCAAAACTGTACATGATATTAGAAACATAACGAGCACCACTGGTCACTCATTTCGAGTTATTTAATAGTTGGGATTCATAACGTATCATGGAATTTATATTTTTACTAGCAAGCCTGATAGATTCAAACTTTTACCAACGACCTTCTGGACTCAACTTTTTTGTGCATTCGAATATACCCAAGCCTTTCAATTTTTCAAATTTTCAATTCCAATGCCAAACATTCTTCATTACCCTATTAGCTATGTGGCGGAGTCCTGCCTAACAGTGTCGATGAGTCTCATTGCTTTGTAGCTTTCGTTCTAAAGCTGCTTAGTCTAAATATCCGAGCACGATTCTTCCCATAAAACAACTTTCAATAACCCTTTGCTATGATTCTTTCAAACGAGTTGTTCACGGGCGGCTGACTCTGCATCGCAACCCTGCTGTATTATTTTTCTAGGACACGAAGATTTGGATCATCCACCTTTGTTCGTGTCCTTGCCTAGACCCATGATCTGCCAGTACACTAAGACAGAAAAAAGGTCCGTGAGCGTACGTCTTTTAACATGTAGGTAAAGAACGAACCTAGCCAATGTGGTGTGATATCTACTGAAAAGAGCCTTGACAAAAAAATTAGGAGGATGCTTTTGACATCGATTTCGGATCCTGGCACATAGATTCTGCGCATGCTTCTGACATGCTCAATATAAAAGTGCTGCCACCGGTAGTATGCCTAACACTTATTCAGCCAATGGACCCATGAAATTGGACCAGCAGACTTCCAGATCACTTGCGGACAAAAGTAGTGAAGGAGAGGCAATACGGCCTGAGTAGTAGGCAGAAAAAATAAACCTCCTAGGCAAATAATGATAGTGGTTTTTTTTCAGTTGATGCCTGCAAAAGTGAACACATCTGGCGGAGTAAAACTCGTTTTCAATTATTAGGGTAAACGTGCCTGGGTCATTGTCAGTGTCCACAATAACGGTTAAAATTCAACAGGTGGTTTGTACTCGATTTGATCACTGCAAAGGGTTTAACAAAATTCGTAACTATATAGAAATATAGCTTGATATTCTTGTGTGTTATCATTTTGTTAACGCGAAGATGAAGGAAATGTGATTTACGATAGCAAATGTTAATCTTAGTGGCAGGCCTGTGAAATATCTATCAAATAAGCGGTACAGATTTCGAGAAGACGAGACAGCAATAGCAACAAAAGGTGCTGAACGCAGTTAAAATAGAACACTGAGCAAGGAAGAAAGGTCAAACGCCAACGTGCTATGTAGTTCTCTATTAAAGCATCTTCTATGTTTCGAGTTTTATGTCCAATATTGCCGTTCGGTATTCCACCAAACTGACGGTTGGCTCCCAGTACGAAACGAAGTCTGGGTTCGAACTACCCAACAACTTCTTTATCTTGCTTTTAAAATCCTTTTTAAGAACGCGAACTAATTGACAAAGGTTTGGTGACCGCTATTAGCGCTTACCTTCTCTTTAAGATTGGTATCATTATGAGGGTACGCAACTAACGAAACCCCAAGACGTTATCCAACATACCCAACATATTAACGGTAGCAGCGGTCTGTTAATAAATTGGGTACGTTTACTCCTACCTTTTGAACGCTTTCTCCTATCCGCCTTCCATTCCATCCACCTGTCCCCTCCCCTATAGCTGACTTTTCCCTTGACTTCATCGTCGATCCATCTGGATGATGAAGTCGCCTCCTTTTCCTAATCGAGCGGATTCCTGCTGGACCTATTGGAAGTGGATGCTGATACGAGCGAAGAACTGGTCTGGGTCACTGGCTTTTGCAGAAGTGGCTGACCAACCTACAGATCGAGCACGACCAACAGCAAGTGAAAGAAAAGTTTTCATATTGCCATATTGCCGGCTGACTGCCCTCCTATCGCAAAGCTTCCGCGTCCTTTTTCGCCCTGTTTATGCCCTGTTTTACACTTCGGCCCCAAGACGACGCTTCAATCAGTCACTCAGTCAGTCACAGGAGCCGACCTTCCTAACAACGTTTGGTCCCAATACCATCTATGGGTCTGCTGCCGAAGTGGCCGGTTCGAGCTTTTGCTTGCAATCTTTCCTCTATTTAGCCGTTCAGGCCCTGAGTCCTTTGGTCCTGATTCCGTGGACTCTTTGTTACTCTTTTTGCTCGGAGCGCACACAAGGAGTATCCTCTTTCGCAGGGGCACCAGCGGATGCCACAGAAGGGCGTTAATTTTGCCGATCCTGTCGGCGTTTCAATGGCATGCTCTAACTAAAGTCGAATAAAGTAAAAGAAGAAACTGTCTATATGTGTACATATATATATATATATTTAATATATACCCTGCATAGTGGATGAAAACGGAGAAACAGCTGCTGTTGTTTCTGCTGTAATGAAAGATGTACGACACCATACAGACAGAATAAGGCTACCGGATGATAGGAATCACAAAAGAAGAAGCAGTAATAACAATGAGCTTTGTCGATTCCACCGTCTACGTCATACGCCCAGCAGAGCATGATATAGACTGTAAAAGCATTCGTTAGAATCAGGTTTGTTCGCCAGAGCTTACGTGTATTTTTATATATATAGTCGGTGGTTAACAAATAAAGGTTGGTTAGTTAACCTAATGGTAGGGTATGTCTTGTGCATGTTTGGGAGCCAGTCGTACAAAACGGAGCTCTGATTATTGGAAACGTCTACTATTTTACGACGATGCCGTCATGCCATGAAAAGCTTTGTCATGTCGACTCGCAAAATGATTTCTCAAATTCCATAGATCGGTGTTTATTCAGACTCAAACCCTTAAACAGTTCTCGGTAGTCACTTACGCCCACCGCAGTTGAGGTTTTTTAATGTGCTTAAGCAATCTGAAATGTAACACAGAGCGACACAACAAGCAGTTTTTACATGCTAACAAAATTTCTACGTTCCAAATTCATGATTCATTTTGCTCGTTTTTAAAGTGCTCTACTTATAGTTTTGCGCCATTTAGATCGCTACTTTTCGTCCAACCGACGTTCTTCTACTCAGTTGACTCTTGTAGCGCCATAAGTCGTCAGTTTGCATTTTCCTTGCCGTTTTGCTTCTCCTCGCCAGAAAAAGACCCTACAAGTCTCCCTTCATCGGGAACAGGAGGAACAGCGAAGTTGCTGGCAGTAACGAAGGGAATTCATAGGAATGACTGCACCGCCTTTGCAGACGGAGTGCGAGGGAAACGTCTATACGCACAATGCCGTTGCGCAATGAGCTGAAAGTGCTCGCAGATCGCTCAGGTTCAGCCACAATCGTGGCACTGCCGCTGCTACCACCCTCGATTATCTCGCAGCCGCCTCTGGTCCAACCCAACGGACAAGATCAAGGGGAAATGATGACGTTGTTTGTTGGAAAAGGCCTTGTAAAACTGGCTTAACCGAACCCGGTCACACTAAGCGAGAAACACATAGTAAGTTTATAAGCTCAGATCCCAACCTTACTACTTCCACCACTAGTTAGTACCGGTTGCCACTCTCTGTGTCTGTCTATTTGTTTGTCCAGCTACGAGTGTTCGAGTGGATTTGGGACTAACACGTTTTGTACCGCCAGTGGAATAGCAGCATACCAGAGTGCCCCAGCGTCGGTTCTGTACCCCTTTGCCTACCGCTGCCGTCGTCGCTCATATGCTTTCTACACTCGGACAAGCAGAATTACTGCTGGCCAAGCCAAAACGGGGAGAAACGCAGGCCTTACGAAGGGCCGTCTAGCAGGGGAAGACTGGCATTTCGCTAACCCGAACTTCAACTCTGTTATTTGCCTCATACGTCCCTAAGTGAACCGGTGCATGGACGAAGTAGTAGTGACCACAATTACTCCGGCAGCAGTTCCAGAGGTGAGGCCGTGCTTGCCACCGCTGCAGAGAGCCGACGGATCCTGTGGAGCGAAGTCTGCCCACAAACTTACCCCCACCCACCACCCCGGCCTAGTTAGAGCCCGTCCACTAAGCTAACACAGAGTCCTGTGTTGGGGGGGGGGGGGGGGGGGGCAAACAACTACGAATAACCACTCAAACAAACAAGCCAGTCGGTCAGTTGGGCGTACCGCTAGAGGCTCACTGTGGTTTCCGCATGTGCTGCTTACCGTACTACATACTTTCTCATTCACTCCCTTTTGTTGCATTTGCCATAGCGCGTTCCTCTGAAGCACTGTTGTCTTTGTAAGCGGTCGTGTTTATGGGGCTCGTCCGTGTTTTTTTGTCTCATTCACATTTTGTACTACCACGCCTCTTATTTAAGGTGCTTGAATTTTCCATGGATTTGTGGCTGCCGCTGAACTATGGGCTAATACCCTGTATGCATGTGACACGTATATAATGGCTAACTTTATGCCTTATGTTACCTTTTCATTCATAAAGTATGAAAAAGAAGCTATATGGTTTAAGTCGTCCGCAAAACTAGCAAAAAAGTGATATACAAATTTACACATATTGTTTTTATCAGTTACAAGGACGCACACAGCTGCGCCTATGGTCAAAACGTTTCCTTGTTAATGTTTGTTACTTATTAAGTTAAGCGCTGCTCGTTGGAATGATGTTCCAGTCAACGTTACAAACGCATGCGCCGTCTGGGCTGCACTTCGCCGCTTGGAATATAAATAATTCAATATTTATTAGGGTGGTCATTCATATTTGATCTTCCATCACAAAAACAAAAAAAAAATTAAGGGCAGAAAAAACCAGGGCCTTTATTTTTGTGAATGGCAATACACTATGCGTGGCGGGTACTTTTTCGAATTAGACAAAAGCACCAGTGCTGTGATGGCAAGAGTGCCATGAAAGCAATGAGTTCGTCGTTTAACTACGAATAGAAATATTCTAACTTCTGGCAGGCAAAGTTTTTTCGTACAAAAAAAAACAGTATTATGAAATTATGTCATTTTCATGGTAACGTGTATTTCTATTGACATTAATGAATTCGTAGATTATCTTAGAATGGGTTGCATTGTAAAGAAGCAAACATTACGCCAGAACGATAACTGCTAAACTATATAACCTTTAGATTTCACTGGCTGTAATGTCGTGGAAAATTCATATGGACGTTCTCATTTCCCAGATCAACAAATTAGGCGGTCCTTTAAAAAAAAAAAAAAAAACTCCCAGCTAATTTGAATCTGTGTACTAAGAAGGAATTAAGAGAAATCCATAATTTGTTCCTCCATAATTCTACCCTTCCCCCCTCCGCTCAGCTCGGAAACCGTTGCTTTAAGTTCCGTTAACGACACAATTGTAAATATCCACGGGCGATTGATACTTAGGTCACTTACCCATCGGTATCTTGGAAGTTCACGTTCGCTTGAATACGTCTCGTTGCATTCAGTAGCTCTAGAATGAAAACGAATCAAACAGAAAACAGACGTTAAATTCATATTATTTCTAAGTTAAGCACAAGATAATCAATGAGTCTTTTTATGAGTAAGTATGAGGGGTATACGAGAATGTATACTGTTTTGCCCCAGACAGAGCCGCCAAAGGTTCTATTAAAAGTGCTGTTAGTGATACATACTTAAACTAAAATTAAAAACTGTATATAAGTAGCGGCGAAACATTTTTTGTATGTTGTGGAATTATTTAACATCGACTGTCCATTGAATACAGTTATATACAGGCCTCAATGTGTGGCAATTAGTTATATTGTATGAAGCTAATTATATATTCATAGAGAAATAAATGCGATGACATGGGGCGACCGTTTTAAAAACTAGTTTAATTATTTCCGCTTTTTTATTTCAACACAAAATTCTCAAATTAACCTGTTGAGTTTAGAGACCACGTTCCGTATATAAGACACGAGCTTACTGCTATTAATACTATCAGGATTTGAAAAATTTCAAGTCCCTTAAAACGCCTTTGGTATAAAAGGTCTCTAGATAGCTAGCCCATTTATCTATAGCGATCTTACTACGAGCACCCTGTAATATTTGCTTGGTATTGTGCAATCCAGATACAGCTAAACCCTAAATCTCGATAAGCTATGTTTGGGTAACTTGAATTTGCTAATTAACAACTGATCACTTTTATGGATAACATTGGCCCTATTTGCAAATTACCTCGAGTTGTGAAGAGTCTCGGTGATTAGGGCGTTCTCAAGTAGCCCATCTGAAGTGAGTCGTAGGAGCAAATTAATTATTAAATTAAACAGCGAAAAGTTGCTTACACTTGACAAAAAGGTAGGACAGGTAATACATATATAGGCGATCCTTTACAAAATACAAACAACAATAATAACAAACCCGATACAACCACTCCTAGACCTAGCCTGAAGGGTTATTTGGCATTAAACTCTCAATGTGAAATAGACAGAACGTATACGATTGTCAAATTCCATCAAAAAGAGGCGTTCAAAATCAACGATTTGAATACCATCTGCCACACCGTTTATAGCCTATAGTCTTTCAACCTCTCACCTGGTATATATTATTTATCTTCTTATATGCACACACGACCGAAGTAAAAAGTAAAGCCATGATGGTGAGAGATATTCTGCTTTTATTAAAAACAAGTAATGTTTTGATTGCGGGTAATTACAATAAGTTTAATAGACTTAGGACGCCACTGATTGGTATAGATATTGCTCGTAGCACGAACACCCTGATATGTTCGTGCGCTTTTGCTTTTTTGAACAAGAAAGTATATCGCTACGTTTTGTATGAGAGCCTGCAAAAACTGCAAGTCCTTTTTCTCTTAAACCATACTCAGTTCACCGGACTTCTACATTTCCACTCTAGGCACGGTTTTATTGTACCAGTATTTTTACGCCCCTTGCTTTTTATCGTCTGCTTCTGCCCCCTGCCTACGCATAGGGCATATCTTTGCTTTACGTGCACAGTGTTGTGCAAATTCCTATTTTTCTCAAGGCACTAGAAATCAGAACTTTGGGGAGAGTGGGCAGGCTCTCCAGGAACGTATAATTGTTGTTTCAGCTGGATATAATAATACTATATATTTCATACCCGTGAGTGTTCTATACTTAGCGAAGCCCCGTCTAGTTGTTACCTTCGTTTCCTTTTGATTTTTCCTCTCAAAGCCTGGCAGCATTATTGTTAGGTTGTAGATGATAATACTGTTGCTGATATGCTATTATAGAAGAGAGATATTTTTTGTTTACTGTTTGTAAACTTTTAGCCTTCTATGCTAAATCTTTTCTTTCGTCTCATACGGATGAGCTAGCACAATAGTAAAGGGAACCAAAAATTTAACTATGTTTCCCTGTCGGCCCCTATTCGGTTAATCTTTGCCTTATTTCGCCATCGTCTTCCTTTAGCTATTTAACTTGCCTTCTCTATGTTTCCAGTAATCATGGCCCTTTTTCTTTTCACGTTTCTCTCACGCATTTTTCTCGACAGTTTGCTTAGACTCTGCGAATTCGCTGGTTCTTCTGCCAACAGGCTGCTCACTTGAAGTTTGCTTTATATGACCCTGGATCAGGCCCATACCACCCTACACACGAGATAGCCTTCGCAGTAGCTGCCTTTCGCACTTTCGTCGCTACGAGAGCCCGATCAGACAGAAAGTGACTTCAACGGAGCGTTCCATTTTTTCGATTTATATTTGTGCCGTCTCGACCTCGGCCGGGTCAAATCACTGTCGTGGCATCCTCACTGGGAATGGGTAATGCTACTAGCCGCTTTCTCCCGTTTGTTGTTTTTTAGTCTTTGAGTTGCTGAATCCTAATGACGATAGGATTCGAAAAGGTTCTAGGAGGCAAGCCAAGGCTTGAGAACGGGTCTCCAAGATCCCTGCAGCGGAAACTTTTTTTTACGCTTTTTCACGTGTCTCACCTTTAAAGACTCTGTCTTTGACCAAAAAGGTCGACGGGCCAAACACTTTATTCTGTCAGTCATTCTTTTTGATGAAAAATTGGTAATTAATTGTCTGCTACATTCCTCCGGTGAAGGTCTTTTGCCCTTTTCATGATTAGACAGCTGGTTTGAGCAGGAAACGCAGTACGAAGGAAAAGGGATTGGGTATTTTCCGGGGACCTGCCTAAAACGTAATCCTTCTGTTATATCCCATTATATAAGGGTTGTTTTGTTTGCCAGTGAATTAGTAGAAAAAGGTAGAACGCTCAAAGCGAGAATGTACTGAATCCGGATCGGTAGAATACGCCCGGGCTTAGACGTCGGCCCTATATAGAGAAAGAGTCTCCGAGGTATAACGGTAGGACGACATGAGTTTTGAATGTGACAGGAAGGGTTGCTACGATCAAAAAAAGCCATGATTTGGCTTGTTTGTGGTATGCTGACATGAACGCGCGCCAAGTAAAACTGATCTTCTTTGTGTATCCATTTTTCTTTCTTCTGAAAGCTTTGGTTTCATCTTTTCGAAATTGTCCTATCACAGGGTTGGAATTTTTCGGAATTAACCAAATTTCTGTTAATTGACCGTTGTAAACAACATGGGAAAATCGATATGGTATCGAATTCGGCGGCAGTCCCGATACGGATGTAGCTTAGTTTCTCAGGATATGGCTTTGTCAATTTATTTGATATTTTTGGGTTACCGAACGCTTTTTGCCAAATTGTGGCACAGGTACAAGTAACCGATTAGAATTCAAATCAAATGTGTTGCACTATCCATTAAGTTCAATACTAATTAATCATAACATTTATTCATAGAGAACTTACCTCCAAAGCCCATAAACCCGCACGCACCTTCACAAACACGGACATACCTCGTTCAGTAGTCCCTTGAATTTTGAGGCACATTGCGTTCCTAAATTCGTGAAACTCATTAATTCTTGTTACCCTAATCATTTAGTAATACTCTCGCGTGAAGAATAACTTTAAGGCCGCCACCTTTTTTTTTGCTTTAAGCACGGAGCAGTTAAAGTGTCAACGTTGCCTTCAGCGCTCTGCGCTCAAATGGCTTCTACCCTAAACTGCAGAGCGTGCAACGACAATAAAGGCTTTCGTAGTCAAAATGGTGATAATGTTGTTCTGTTTAAAGCTCCTCTAAGCGTCTCAATTGGAGGTGGCGCCGAAGCAGCCGACGGTGAAGTCAAGTTGTAACCCCTTGCGGGAATTCAAAGTCTTTTTAACCCTGTGTCCGTGTCCGGCCTGAGTAGCTAGCGTTCTGCAAGTTTATACCTCAGTCTCTTCTCGGCAGGCCTTTATGCCGACCAGCTGTTCTTCTTTTCGTTTTTTCTCGGAAGAACACGGTTTGTAAGTTGATAATATACCCGCTGTTGTCGCCCGGTGCTCCGCGTTTACCATTTAGTGCCGCATTTGTCGCTGAAAAAATTCGTCTCAAAGGCGGAGACTTCAGTGGAGCTGAAATCGAGACCGACTTGTATTAGTCAGCAATGAAGCCTCGATAGCACAACTCATAGGACTCTTTATAGGACAACGAGCAGACAAATTACACAGTGTGATCGCAAGTGGCGGCAAAGCTAGTCTTTGCTATCTATCCAGCCGGTCAGCCATTACAGCAAGTTCGGAGCTAACTTAACCAGGAGGGGTGAAACAGCGGGGCGAAGAGAAGACTCGACCTAAGCTGATCTGTGTGGCAAGCCGATTTATTGGTCCTTCATACGGGCGCCCATTAAAGCTTGTCTGGAACAAGCTCTTTGTGCCCGTTTGAACCGCTACGTTTCCTGAGGAAGAACAGAACCTGACGCAGAGTCGATGGACGAGTGCTAGAGCGAAAAACGGAGGCCCGTAGCTGTAACAACAGTAGCAGCCGACTACGAAAGCAAATTAGACAAAAGCAAAACAACAAGAGCAGCGGAGGCTGTACAAACAATCCGTTGACCGACGATTCAAGTCTTTAACACCACTTCTCCTGTCTCATCGTTTTCTACGTCGTCGTTGACTCCACTTGTCAACATAGAGCTTGCGGTTGGCCTTCGCTCCGGTACGTCGATCGGAATACCCGTCGCGTCGTCGACGAGGCATCAAACAGTAGATGCTTCCACAAACCCGTGTGCTCCGCCAATTAACCAAGTGGCAAGGACACCCACATAGTCATGAGCTGAGCATATCATGAGTAGCGTCTGTAGTCCTGTTGTCGTATTGTTTACACTACTGCGCGGGCAAAAGTAAAACCGTACGCTACGACATGTACGTTTAGTACAGATAGTGCATGGAGCCTTGATGTGTGCTCATGTAGGTGTACGCAGGCTCACGATATAACGCCGTACGAGAAACGAACCAAAAATAGATGAAGACGAAAAGAAAACCGGATGTCATTTTGAAAATAACTAACGGTCCGCTAAGTAGACGCCAATGGCGCCCTTGCTATTGTTATTCGACAAAGGGGCAGAGACGTGCCAATTCATTCGTCTTTACATAAGTGGAATTAGCGTATGGTAGTAACTGAAGTTT